AAATTGAATGGATGGATGCGTGCATTCTTAAACTTTTTCCTAGAGAATTGTACTGCTAAAGGTACATAATTGAGGTTGGAATTAAAAATAATTTTTATATGTGAAATAACTGTACCTTCAATTCTTGCATAGCCATAGATTGCAACTTTGATGCAATATTTGTTAATGTGATAGGCTTTTGGATACAACCTGATGTACCGCATTAATGGTTTGTTTTTTAATGGGCTTTTCACAACACCAGTGCTGTCCTTATTTGCATCAAAAACCTGAAACAAGAGATGCACTCTGTATTTAGAAATAAATAAAAAAGAAGGAAAACTAAAAGAAATACAGAGACGGCATGATAGAAAAAAAAACTTGAAAGAAAATTAATAAATAGAAAATAATAATAACAATAATAATAAAAAAATACAGACAAGCTGCGAACAAACAAGAAAATCACACTCACATAAGTAAACATATATATTGCTTTGCTTGCGCATTGGAAGGAACTAAGAGCTGGAATGGAAAATGGGACAAGATTTCCTTTTATTACCGCACGTAAACATCCTTCTTCCAATTAAGAGTTGTACTATGCATTGGTCAGTATTTTATCACGTACTCTTATTCTCCCGTTCTCTTTGTAATCTTTCCAGGTTCGGTTGTCCTTTGACATGGTTATTACGTATGTTTTAGCATATGCACCGCCTTCCTTTGTAGCAATGGCGCACACAACGAACTCAGCTCCAAGATCAATTTGCAGATAATGGCGGATATTTTTTCCTGGGCTGCCTGGACACCAACCATGGCCATMTCCTCGTGTATCACCAATCCTTGCAAAATATGGCTTGTATCCTTTATATCTATATGTAGACGATGCAGTAAAGCTACTATCTGGAATGATTCCCCTGGCTTCCACACCGATTGATGTCTCTTCGCAGCCTAAAAGATTAGGAAATTAAAATTCATGCCYTTGTTATCAATAGTCATCTGATTTCCAGAAATGTCCAGTTTACAATGTTTAAAATGTGCTAAAAGTGAGCTTCAAAACGTTTGAATTGTTTTTTTCATAATTTAACTCATCATATTTTTTTCAGTGATTGTGTCAGTGTGGAATTTTTTGTGTTCTAGATCATTCTATTTTCTCAGTTTCTTGTTGGAGAAAAACAGTATAGATTTATGTCGCATGATCTCAAGACGTTATGACTTATTTAACAATAGCCGAGTATTCAATAAGTACATAGCCAGAAGTGTCCATCTCGCTAGTAATCAAGTCACCATCAGATGTCCCGATAATCTGTTTTAAGACAACCAATCACAACGCGTCATTAATGTCATTGATGGAAGTAAACAAAGTGATGTTTTTTATTTTCGATAATTTTATACTTTTTGCGGTTCAAACTTCCTGAATTTGATGTAAAACAGTTTCCTATAAAAGCAAATGTAGTGAAAGTAGTCCAAGGGCAGCCGAGAAAACATTGAAAAAGTTCAGATAAAGGTAAAGAAATGTACTTACAAAAAGCTAGCAGCCGAAGGAAAGAAAAATGCATAATGTGATTTTACCTATACACGGAATTGCAGTAAAAGTCATCTTAATAACTTAGAAGGATTTGACTGAATAGTTTTATAAAAACTGTGAAATGTTTACGGCTCAGCCGTGGTTTATACTCTCATAAACCACACTTTTTTGGGCAATCAGAGCGCGCGTTAGAAATCATCTATATAATAAAAAAGAATAAAAAGATGCCCGAAATAAACATTGGGAAAAATTTGTCGATCAAAAACGTATATCAAATAAAATGATATTTTAATGATAT